GACTGTAGAGATATCCTTTCCGAAATTATCCAGGTGCGAGCAGACCTGAAAGACACACCGTTACTGAACTGTGAGCTAAATTGGTATACGGATGGGAGCAGCTTTGTGCAGGAGGGGGTCAGGAGAGCAGGGGCAGCAGTAGTAACCCACGATGGGGAAGTTGTCTGGAGCACAGCTCTGCCCCCTGGCACCTCAGCACAGAAGGCGGAACTTATTGCTCTCGCTGAGGCCCTGGAAAGAGCAGAAGGAAAGCGGGCCAACATTTACACAGATAGCAGATACGCCTTTGGCACTGTCCATGTCCATGGTGCCATCTACCGAGAAAGAGGATTCCGTTCCGCGGAAGGGAAGGGACTGAGGAATCTGCAAGAAGTCCAAAGACTATTAGCTGCTGTCGAAAAACCTAAAGCAGTAGCAGTTATACATGTACCGGGCCACCAATCAAAGAAGACACCCGAGGCCATCGGCAACAGCCATGCAGATGCAGAAGCTAAAAGGGCAGCCCTCTCGGACTCTCTTGTGCTTGCGGCCCTCGAAATACCCATACCTGAACTGCCCGCACTGCCGCCCAAACCTGAGTATTCCCCTCAAGATCTTGAGTGGATTAGGAAACAAGTCCCGGGGGAAGTGTTTGGAGAGGGACATTGGGGTAGGGACCAGGAGGGTAGATTGATCTTGCCAGAAGCATTAGGACAGTACCTGCTTGCTAATCTGCATAAGTCCACCCATCTAGGTGGAAAAAAACTGCTCAGCCTTTTCCAGTCTGCGCAGTTGGTGTTTCCCCACCAGAATGAGGTGACTCGCCAGATCATGAAAGAATGCAGTAGCTGTGCAATGCTAAGACCAGCCCCAAGAGGGCTGCACCCAGCAGGTACCCGGGAAAGGGGGAGGGCTCCAGGGAGGAATTGGGAAATAGACTTCACCGAAATAAAACCAGGGAAGTATGGATACAGGTATTTGCTAGTTATGGTAGATACTTTCTCTGGGTGGGTGGAGGCCTTTCCAACCAAGCATGAGACTAGCCAGGTAGTAGCAAAAAGATTAATTGAAGAAATCATCCCCAGATATGGGGTCCCTGAAGCAATAGGTTCCGATAACGGCCCGGCTTTCATTAGCAAAGTCCTGCAAGGACTAGCCCTAGCTTTGGGAGTAGATTGGAAGTTACATTGTGCTTATAACCCACAAAGCTCTGGGCAGGTAGAGAGAATGAATCGGACCTTGAAAGAGACCCTTTCTAAATTGGTATTGGAGACTGGTGGGGACTGGGTGACTCTCCTTCCCTTAGCCATCTTCCGCGCTCGGAACTCCCCCTATGTACATGGTTTAACTCCATTTGAGATAATGTATGGGGCCCCTCCACCTATAACTCGACGAGTGCAGCTTCCCGATGCAGAGGACCCGGCCCCTGACTATCTGAATGTGTTGCAAGTTCTTGCTAAAGTGCAGCAAGAAATCTGGCCCCTGATCAGAGCATATTATGAGGGCGGGAAAATTCCGAGCCCGGAACATGGCATAGTCCCAGGGGATATAGTATGGGTCAAAAGACATCAAGTGAAGACTCTCGAGCCCAGGTGGAAAGGACCTTATGTTGTATTGTTTACCACCCCCACTGCTCTCAAGGTTGATGGTATCGCTCCCTGGGTACACCACACCCACGTTCGGAAGGTCCTGCCTCATAAAGACCCAGGGGCCTGTAAGGAAAAGTGGAAGGTGCAGCAGCATCCTGCCAATCCCCTAAAACTACACTTAAGCCGAAGATGAAAGAGATCCTGCTAATAAGCTCCTTAGTATGGATCTTCACGAGAGCCACATCTGTGGGGATCAGAGGCACCAACCCCCATCAACCAAGGAACCTGACCTGGATGCTGATTGATAGTGACAATGGGGAAGTCATCAACTCCACACAACACAGTGCGCCAATCGGAACCTGGTGGCCTGACCTGTATTTCTGCTTTCGACAGATCAACCCCGTTTACCGATCCATCCCTCCAAATTTGGCTCGCTCCCATGGGTTTTATGCTTGCCCAGGAACAGGTAAAGGAAGGCACTGTGGGGGGGGGCATGACTTCTTTTGTGCCAGCTGGGACTGTGTAACCTCGAACGATGGGGATTGGAGATGGACAGTTACAAAAATCGATTCTGTCAAATTTACTTATGTCAACAAGGGCATCCCTCGTCACCAGCCTATGACCCTTTACAAAACCAAGGCTTGTGACAAAACGGACCAGGATTGGGTAAGAGTTCAATTCACCGAGACAGGCAAAAACACTGAGGTATCGCGCTGGATAAATGGACTAGCGTGGGGAATAGTGTATTATAAATATGGGGGGCATGCTGGCTCGACCCTCATCATTAAATTAACCGTGTCAACTCCCACCGCTGCCGTAGGTCCCAACTCGGTTATAAATCCCCAGAAACCTTCAATCCAGGACAAGGGCCTGAGCAAAAAGGATGAGAAAATGCCAACCAGAACGCTTGCTCCAGAGCCCACGGGAGGACCGAGTCCATCGACCTCTGGGTTATGGGCCCAGCACACCCCCTCCGGGTTAGATAATCCCATGTGGGAAATGGTGCAGGCAGTTGTAGAGACTCTTAACCACACCACTTCCTCCCTCACCGATCCCTGTTGGCTATGCTACCCAGGTTCACCCCCCTTCTATGAGGCAATCGGGATAAATGGCTCCTACACTATCAACAACTCCCATCCCACTTACTGGGACGGGAGACCGTGGGGACTTACAATCGCTCAAGTCTCAGTCGTTGGTACGTGTGTAGGCACAGTCCCGACGACCCAGAGCCAGTTATGCTCCTCCTATAATAACACTACGTGGGAGCAGGGAAAGTGGATTATACCCTCCTCGGGCTGGTGGCTCTGCTCAAAGACAGGCCTCACTCCGGCCCTATCCACCTCTGTGTTCAATGCTAACAGTGAGTTTTGTGTGCTGGTGGCCCTTCTACCTCGCCTAATGTATCATTCTCATGAATCTCTCCTTTCTTATTGGGAAGAAAGGCTGAGCCCCCACCGGAGCAAGAGGGAGGTTGTTACCGCCCTGACCATTGGAACCCTCTTCACCCTAGGGATGGCAGGGGCAAGCACGGGGGTTGCAGCCCTTGTAACTCGAGAAAAGGGGCTCACAGCCCTGAGGCTGGCAATCGACAGAGACCTAGAACAACTCCGACAGACAATATCAGACCTAGAGCAATCCCTCACCTCCTTGTCCGAGGTGGTCCTACAGAACCGAAGAGGCCTGGACCTCTTGTTCTTAAAGGAAGGTGGGTTATGCGCAGCCTTAAGAGAAGAGTGCTGTTTCTATGTAGACAAAACAGGTGCAGTCAGAGATTCCTTGGCCAAACTGAAAAAAGATTTAGAGAAGAGGCGTAAAGAATATGAAAGTAGCGAAGGCTGGTTTGAGTCTTGGTTCAAATACAAGCCTTGGTTTGCTACCCTTCTCTCGGCCGTTGCGGGGCCGCTCGTTATCCTGCTGTTGCTGTTTACGATTGGCCCGTGCATAATTAACAGGCTTGTTAAGTTTGTGCAGGAAAGAATTGACACTGTCCAACTCTTAGTCCTTCGTCAAAGGTATCAGGACCCAGATGCCGCTGTGGAAGATTCCACAGTCTAATCAAGAAAAGGGGGGAAATGTAAAGGAGTGCAGAGAGCATTAAGAGTCAGGAAAAAGAACTAATAAAACTTAGCTAAACCTTAACAGCAGACCATTCCGGAATAGTAAGAGATTCAATGTCTAAACTTAGAGAGAGACCAGATCAAAGGAAGAGAGAGCGAGAGGCCAGCCAAGGGCTATTTGAATCCTAGTTTACTAAATCCCCATGGTTTACAACCCTGATATCCACCCTGGCAGGGCCCTTGCTTATTTTTATACTGCTTCTCACTTTAGGTCCCTGTATCTTAAACCGGCTAATAGCCTTTGTTAGGGAAAGAGTGAGTGCTGTTCAGGTGCTAATGCTGAGACCGCAGTATCATTCACTCACACAGCAGGAAGAAACAAACATTCCATGATTGGAATGGTCAAAGGAAAGTGGGGAAATGTAGAATCTAAGCATTAGTAAGATTAGTAAATTAGCATAAGCATAGCCATCTTAGAAACCTAGAAACCATTTTCTGAGAGTGTGACTCAGAGGAAAAAAAAAAAAAAAAAAAAAAAAACCCTGGGCCTGGGTAAGGCCTTGAAAAACAAGTTAATCATGAGCACCGGGTGGTGGGCAGCTGTGACCCTTGGTCAGCTAACCTTGGTCAGTAAATCTTACATACCAAGCTTATCGTGCAGAACCTCCCTAACCATTGAGGAGTAGTCTTACCCTGCCCTTGCTTAACCCCAGGATATATGTCTTGCAAGAATAATGTATAGTTATAGAAAATTGCTATGAGTTAAGTGCTTTGAAATTGCTATATAAACCCTTGGCTCTGAGTGCTCGGCGTCCTTGTTGAGACCCGCTGCATCGGGGTGACTTGGACCTCAGCTAGCTAGCTGAATAAAGACTTTGCTTGAATTTACATCTCTATGCCTGTGTAGTTTGTTCTCTGGGGAAGCCTCGGAAGCCTGGACCCTAACAGTCCCATCACTGGCTTGGCCAATAGGCACACTGCCTACTTAAACATTTGTTCTTTGCATCCAGCATTCATTTCTCAGGTGTAGCTCCAAGCACCAGAACTGTGGCCTACCAAGTCCCCAGTAGTCCCAGTGACTCGCCTCTCCCACTGGCGACACTGCAGAACCTAGGGTGAGTTTGGCTTTGCCCAAGAGGTGTGGGCGAGATTCAATCCTGTTTTTAGCCACAGTGCTCTCTTCTCAGATTTCAGATGCCAGATTGGGATTTTCCTCGGTTCTGCCCCCTTGGCAAGTGCAGGATCTCCCTGGGAAGCTTGGAGTGGGGCCGGGAGCTGACTCCTCACTTCTCACTACCCTCAGGCGGACCTGGTGTCTGACGCCAGGCACACTGTAGGAGGCCACTGGGGGGCGGACCAGCTAAGGGCTGCCCTCCCATCAGTGACGTCCCGGTGGGTGGAGGGGCGACGGGCTGACTCTGAGCCTTCGACGCTTCCTCAGGGTGCCAAATTCGTCGGTCCTCAGGAGATGGTGCTGCGACCCTTGCACTTGTGCACCCTGGTGCCGGTTTGCCCGCCCAAGCCTGGCCATGCAGCCGCGAGCCGTGCTGCGCGCCGCGCTGCTGGTGTGGCTGCTCGTGGGGCCCCGTCGCGCCACCGGACGCCTGCGGAGCGGTGAGTGCGCGCTCTGGGGCGGGGGCCGGTTCCCCGTTAGGCTCCGCCGCTGCACCCGCTGCACCCACTGCACCCCAGCCGCTGCTGACGGTCCTCAGGACCACCCTGCCTCTTCAGCGGCCCTCCGCGTGGCCCCTGCCCCACGAATGGCTCAATCCTCCCGCTCCCTACCCTCGCCCCGCGCCGGAAACCGGCGCCGGTTCTCTGCAGGTCCTGGAACTCTGGAAGTGCAGTCAGGGTTACAGGAGTTCGGAGGACGTAGGCTAGGTGGGACAGCGGCAATCTGCAAACAACAGGAGCCAAGCAGTAGTCCGGGAAACCCCACTCAGAGCGGTCTCACCAACTCCGTTGTGCTGCCCACTGAAGTGTTCTGCCCCAGAGGTGGCGGTGCAGTAGGGATTCTGAATCGGCCGTGCGTTGCGAACCTGGCCAATTCTTCCTGGTCTCGTCTTGGGGGAGGATGGCTGGATCCAGCCCTGGAATGAGAGCGCTTAGAGCTCGAGAACGAAGCCTAGTTACTAGCCCGCGACAAGCCCCGCCTGACTAGGGAATCACTCTTTGTGCTTCCTTCCCCCTGTCGTGTCACTGCAGCCTTGGACCTGGACCTCAGAGGAGGTACAGTGCTTTGGCTTCTTGCCTCTTACGTTTGTTCTGCATGTTGGTGGTTGGGGGGTGGGCGGGTTGGGGGGATGTACGTGCCCCTTTCGCAAGCGGGGACAGATTGGCCAAAGGTTGGGGAAGTGAATGAAAACCTCCACTCCGTCATCCGTGATCGCTAAGCTGATTCAAAGAATCTATAAAGTTGGTTTCCGGATGAGGTGGGGCGCCACGCCGCAGAGGGCAGGCTGTGTGAGATGTTAAACTGCTTGGATTAGGTCTGCATGGGCTCTGTCTAGGTCGTGGGGAAGAGCAGGCCCTCCTGACCTTCCTTTTCCTGAAAATGAGAAGAGGAAGACACTTGCTCAAGGCAGGGGAACCAGATGTAGCCTCGTCCGCCCTCCAGCTCTGTCTCTGACACTCGCTGACTTTGTTGGGTGGCCAGGCTTGACCATGCAGGAAACTTGTTTAAGGTGTTCTGTTTTCCTTTGATAATCCTATGGTGGAAAAGTGGGGACTGTCATTAAATTCAGCTCCAGCTTATGTAACACTGGCAGCCAGGTTAGGGGTTCCTGGTACTCATTTCTCCCCTGCTGCGTCATTTGGAGCTACCATTTAGGGACTCTTAAAAGCTCAGCTAGCCCAGCTTTCTCCCCAGGCAGCATTCCAGCCAAAATCCCTCTGACCAGTGGTCCTCAGTCTCTCTGGAACACCTCCTTATTGAGAATCTCCACTTTTGCAGCCTCCTAATTTGCTGATGGACCAGCCCTGTTAGAGTTTCTCTTTTTTAGCAATAGCAGAATGACAGAGAAAGAGAAGATGCAAAACTTTTATAACTCATTGCTTATTGAAAATTTCTTTACAAAAGTGATGAAAGAAGAAATAGAAATGAGGATTCACAGGAGCTTTTTGTATTATCTGTGCTCTGTACCATCTGGCACTGAAAATGTAATTAACTGTCTGTGCCCTTTGCCCTGAATTCTGGACAGTATTGGGAATAATGAATGCTATCTGGTTCCCTGCACAGCTGCAAAACAAGTTCAGAAATGACAACATTCCATGAAGGCTGGTTAGATGTTCCCAAGTCAAAATTCTTCACCCCTCTCTCTGTGGCAGAAATTCATACTTACTGCCCACGATTTGGCTCTTTCATTGCAACGGACTCCCCTTGTTGAGATTTGGTTTTTACTTGTACGTTTAGGTCCAAAAACAGATGCTGTGTCCTCCTGTGGGCTAGGAACTAACACTTGTTTTTGTATTCCCCACACTTAGCACAGTGCTAGCTACAGAGAGGACACACGATACATGTTGATTGAACAAAGATCAAGTACAGCAAGGGTTCAGGCAAGTTGGGTGGTATGTACTAGTGAACAATTTGTTATTCATTTCTCAGTAGAATCCCATCCATTTGTCTGACATAGTCTTCAGCCTTCTGGTGTCAGTCAGATAAGGTACATTACACGGGCTCCCAGGGAAACCTGAACCCGGACTAATATGGGGAGTGGGCAGCATAGTTCAGTAGTTACAGACTTACCTTCATAATTAGACCTGGGTTCTGACTCAGGCAATGCTATGTGACTTTAGCCAAATTACTAAATTTCTCTGAGCTTCACTTTTCTCATCTGTAAAATGGGATGTAAACAATATCTACATGAGGAGATTATTACTATGAGAGTTTAATGAGGTAAAGTATTTATGTAAATGTAAAAGCCCTTAGCATATTTATGCAACATAGTAATAGTTTTGTAAACCTTAACTGTTGTCTTTAGGCAAGACCAGTAGCAAAAAAAACCATGGATCTAATGCTTTTAGCTTCTGCTTATAGCACAGATGAGGTGAATTCTCAGTCTTGCTACATATGCACAGGATTCCAGGGCAGAGGAGCCCACGCTGACTTCAGAACAGCTCTCTTACCTGAAGGAGCCACCAGAGATAACTCATTTTAAAACACACTGCCCCCTGCAACTCCCTAATGGCATCACAGTGTCATTTGTGGGCCTTTAAGTGAAACCACAAATCTTCATCTACCTCTCTTTTAAAGAATAGTAAAAAATGCCTATTTTGCAAGAAACTGTAATGGAACAAACAAAACATTGAGACCCTGCACAACATAAGCACCAGTTTTGTTTTGCTTTTTAACTGAGGTACACAACAATAAAATGCATAAATCTTAGTGTACTAAAAACAAACATGTCTAAAAAACAAATGAACAAACCAACAAAACAAACAGAAACAGCCTCATAAACACAGAGAGCTGACTGGTGGTTGCCAAAGGGGAAAGGAGTGATGAGATGGGCGAAATAGGCACCCAGGTTTAAATCACTGCACCTCCACACTGGAAGGCATGTTTACTTTGGTCTGAGGATCTAAATGACATAACAGCCCACTGATGAGTGATCAGAATTCCTGCACAGGGACAGCTACACTGAGGTGCCTCGTCCCATCCCTGCCCTGGTATAAACTGGGGGGCACTAAAATAGATTGGCTTCTTTTTTCTCTAGGACAGCCAGTCTGCCGGGGAGAGACACAGAGGCCTTGTTATCAAGTCATTTACTTCCACGATACTTCTCGAAGACTGGACTTTGAGGAAGCCAGAGCAGCCTGCAGGAGGGCCGGGGGCCAGCTAGTCAGCATTGAGTCTGAAGATGAGCAGAGACTGATAGAAAAGTTCATTGAAAACCTCCTGGCATCAGATGGCGACTTTTGGATTGGGCTTAGAAGGCAGGAAGAGAAACAAAGCAATAGCACCGCCTGCCAGGACCTTTATGCTTGGACAGATGGCAGCCCTTCAACCTTCAGGTAAGTTGGGGAACCCGCAGCAGCTAACCCACTTGACATAACTAAAAAATACCATTTGGAAGCAAAGTTCAAACTCATTATCAGTCAGAAGAGTGAAGATGACTAATCCATGATGCCCAATCAGTGGGGAGGAGAGCAGCCAGTCAACGCCCCGGGGGGAGAGCAGCACCGGAACAGCCACCGCCCTAAGCAATCTGGCAAAGGTGGTGCACCAGCTTTGATCTGGGCCCAACTAGTACCCAAAGAGCTCTGTTCGGGTGGATGTGGCCCAGTGGCATGGTTTCAATGGCATGCAGTGCTGGAAGTCAAGGGTTCTGGCTGTCTGGCCATTTACATTAGAACCCCAGTGAGAGATTGAATGTCTGTGGGGCTAAAATTCAACACAGGACTCCAAACCACAGGGAATTGTGGTGATGGGCAAAAAATCAGAGCCAGGATCTAATTCTCTGGGTTGGCCAAGATGGGCCTTATGGAAGCCTGCAGACTGGAGGACCCTGGTGAATCCACAACATCAAGACCTAGTACTTCACACCCCACCCTGGCATGATGGCATTGCCACCATCCCCCCTAGGAAATGCACTGACATGTCAAACATCAAAAAATACCAAAATTAAAAGGCAGACATAAAATGGAAAAATGTTGTGATAAATTTAACAGAGTTACTAACTTTTCACGATAAAGAATTTATATTAGTCAGTGAAGCCCCAAAAGAAAAAGAGGCAAAAGACCTGAGCAGGCAGTTCACATAACAGAAAACCTAACTGGTAAACAATCATATGGAAGAAAAATTTTAACTTATTACCAATCAAAAGAATGAAGATTAAAATACATCTTTTTCACCTGTTACATTTACAATAGCATCAGTGTCCATAAAAGTCCACTTGTTACTACTCAGATCCATTTCATCTAAGTTCCAGGAGTAGCTCCTCCAGGGTTCTCATGGGCCTCTCTTCCTGGGAGAGACTTGAAAAAGGAAGGTTAGTAGGGTGAACTACACTCCGCACCGCTGCAGCTGCTCCTGGGGCCACAGCTGATCCTGACCTCCCTCCTCTGCCATTCCCTCAAGATTCCCCTCGCCCTCTGCTCAGGGAGCATAAGTGGCAATGTCCGGACCCTCCCTGAGGAGTGTGAGGCCCCCTCACCTTGCTCTTCTTAGGCTGGAATAATTACAATTATCCGTTTACCTTCAAAACAAGGCACTTGAGCACCAGTAGGTACCCATGTAAATAAGCTGGGTGCCAAACACATTTCTCCGTGTCTGTAGGAGAGCTACCTCCTCCTCATGACTGAGGTCACTTACTTCCTGTGAAGATAATGGTTTCTCTTCTTGCTGGCTGGTGCCTGGACATAGGAGAGCTACCTCCTCCTCATGACTGAGGTCACTTACTTCCTGTGAAGATAATGGTTTCTCTTCTTGCTGGCTGGTGCCTGGACACAAGGATCCCAGCATGCCCAAGTGGCAGTCATGGCTCATAGTTCATTTTAGTAAGACTCCTGCTGTTTCTTCTGGTGGAAGTATTCCCCCTTTGTGTACCAGGACCTCTAAATCTGCAGAACCCAATGTTGCAGAGACAAGTGTAAATTCCTCAAGTCAGTTGCCATCAGTGATGGTAAGCAAAGCTACTTCTGCACCATCTCTTGGCTCCCAAACCCATATATTCTTACTTGTGGGGACACAGGACCAAACAGAAGTCATGGATTCAAATTATGCACTGCATCTTGGAGGGTGATGCCCCATTTCACAAAATATTGCCTCTAAGCTAGTGCTTCATCTTTGTTTTCAACAAGCTCTTCCAACGCTCTGTCAGGTTGGCAGCTCCAGGATGGTGCAAGTTGTGATGTGATTAGTAAATCCCCGGGCCAGGTGCCTACTCCCATACCTCCTTTGTTATAAAGCAGGTCCCTTGTTCTGATACATTATTTGGGATCCCGTGCTGGTAGATCAAACACTGTGTGAGCCTTTGGGTAGTGGTACTGACTATCCATACCCAGATTGTATGTCTGTTCTTATTAAAGTGAATCAATGTCTCCTAGACTTGGTGCTCTTCCAGGGACTCAGCTTTGGTCTCTATTGCTGGCAAGTTCGATGCTTGGCAGTTACTAGATCACCTTGGTGAGTGGGAACAGATACCGTTGAGCTCTTCCATAGCCTCCATCTTGCCACCATGGCTACCCTGGAGTGTTCTACTGCACTAGCACTGGGGTGGCTGAAAATAGGCTGGCTGACATCAACTGGGTGGGTTATTTTGTCTCCCTGATTGTTTAGTGCTTCTTCCATGCAGAATGGTTTGGTGGGCTTTAACATATATGATAGATTCTCATACAAATTTATGCCTATTCACATATATCTATTCACACCACTCTATCCAAGAGCCCCTTGTCCCCAGGCTCCCACTCTGTCTCCTTTTGGACTCCTGATCCACTCACTGGCCAAGCTCTTTGCCTTACCAGAGTCCCTATATATGCTAACCCCCAGTAACTTCTCTTTCCATACAGCATAGTTAACTTGGAGCACCAACTAAGCTCTGGCCATTGGGGGGATGCCCCAGTGCCACCTGATCTTTCAAGGCCACCTCTGAGTGTGGCTTGGTGCCACTATTGTCCATTTGGCTGACCTATCCATGAACGAGACCCAGACTGCCTCTGTCAGCTAGTCATAGGATTCCCTTATGCTGCCATGGTGTCAGCTGAGGGACAGGCTCTGCTACGACAGATGTAGGTGCCACAGCAGTCTGTTCTACCTGTTTATACGGTGCCTTTTGATCCTGGATATACCTCTTCTGTTTTATAATGGACTAATTCCAGGCCTGTCCAGCCTGTGACTAGGTATGTCTGACAGTTACCTTACTCATGATGGACAAGTTGAATGGCATGGTCTCTTGGTGCTCCATGCCTAGTAACAAACCAGGAGATGTTCTGCAAAGATGATTATTTCAGAGCTACAAATGTCATGGCCTTGCTAAAGTATCCTAGAAATCTCTACTGTGACTCTCTCATTAGGGCTTGTCACAAATTCTTTTTTTTTTGGTTAATTTAATTTAATTTTTATTTTGGTATCATTAATGTACAACTACATGAGCAACTTCACAGTTACTAGACTCCCCCATTATCAAGTCCCCACCCAACACCCCATTACAGTCACTGCCCATCAGCATAGTAAGATGCCATAGAATCACTACTTGTCTTCTCTGTGTTGCACTGCCCTCACCATGGCCTCCCCACTACATCATGTGTGCTAATCACAATGCCTCCTTTTCCCCCTTATCCCTCCCTTCCAACCAACCCTCCTGGTCTCTCTCCCTTTCTTAACTGTTAGTCCATTCTTTGGGTTCTTTGCATCTGCTGCTGCTTTGTTCCTTCAGTTTATTCTTTTTTTTATATACCACATATGAGTGAAATCATTTGGTACTTGTCTTTCTCCACCTGGCTTATTTCACTGAGCATAATACCCTGTAGCTCCATCCATGTTGTTGCAAATGGTAGGATTTGTTTTCTTCTTATGGCTGAATAATATTCCATTGTGTATATGTACCACATCTTCTTTATCCATTCATCTACTGATGGACACTTAGGTTGCTTCCATTTCTTGGCTATTGTAAATAATGCTGTGATAAACATAGGGGTGCATACACCTTTTTCAAACTGGGCTGCTGCATTCTTAGGGTAAATTCCTAAGGTCAATGGGATTCCTGGGTCAAATGGTATTTCTATTTTGAGTTTTTTGAGGGACCTCCATACTGCTTTCCACAATGGTTGAACTAATTAACATTCCCACCAGCAGCGTAGGAGGGTTCCCCTTTCTCCACAACCTCACCAACATTTGTTGTTGTTTGTCCTTTGGATGTTGGACATCCTAACTGGTGTGAGGTGATATCTTATTGTGGTTTCAATTTGCATTTTTCTAATGATTAGCAATGTGGAGCATCTTTTCATGTGCCTGTTGGCCATCTGAATTTCTTCTTTGGAGAAGTGTCTGTTCAGCTCCTCTGTTTTTTTCTAAAAGTTTTATGGTTTTTCTAATTGGATTACTTGCTTTTTGTTTGTTGAGGTGCATGACCTCTTTATATTATTTGGATGTTAACCCTTTATCAGATATGTCATTTATGAATATATTCTCCCATACTGTAGGATGCCTTTTTGTTCTATTGATGGTGTCCTTTGCTGTACAGAAGCTTTTCAGCTTGATATAGTCCCATTTGTCAGTTTTGCTTTTGTTTCCCTTGCCTGGGGAGATATGTTCATGAAGAAGTTGCTCATGTTTATGTCCAAGAGATTTTTGCCTATATTTTTTTCTAAGAGTTTTATGGTTTCATGAATTATATTCAGGTCTTTGATCCATTTTGAGTTTACTTTTGTGTATAGGGTTAAACAATGATCCCATTTCATTCTCTTACATGTAGCTATCCAGTTTTGCCAACACCAGTTGTTGAAGAGGCTGTCATTTCCCCATAGTATATCCATGGCCCCTTTATCATATATTAATTGACCATATATGCTTGGGTTAATATCTGCACTCTCTATTCTGTTCTACTGGTCTGTGTGTGTGTTCTTGTGCCAGTATCAAATTGTCTTGATTACTATGGCTTTGTAGTAGAGCTTAAAGATGGGAAGCAAGGTTCCCCCCTGCTTTATTCTTCCTCCTCAGCATTGCTTTGGCTACTTGGGGTCTTTTGTGGTTCCATATGAACTTTAGAATTATTTGCTCTAGTTCGTTGAAGAGTGCTGCTGTTACTTTGATAGCAATTGCCTTGAATCTGTAGATTACTTTAGGCATGATGGCCATTCTGACATTATTAATTCTTCCTAGTCAAGAGCATGGGATGAATTTCCATTTATTAGTGTCCTCCTTAATTTCTCTTAAGAGTGTCTTGTAGTTTTCAGAGTATAGTGCTTTCACTTCCTTGGTTAGGTTTATTCCTAATTTAAATTCCTAATAAAAGTATTTTATTCTTTTTGATGCAACTGTGAATGGAATTGTTTTCCTGATTTCTCTTTCTGCT